AAAAAATATTAGGCAAATAAAAAAATATTTCAGACAAAAGTTGTTAAAATTAATTGGTAGAAAAAGAAGATATAATAAAAAATTGGGCTTTCTATTTTAAAAAATTAAGTTGACCTTCAACTGACCTTGAAAATGCCCTCCAAATAAGAAACTAATAATGCCATTCTCTTTCCCCTACAAAATCATGGAACACGTGTTTTAACTTTTTTTAATATCTTTCATTGTTTTCGAGATTTTTTAATGCGAAAGATAAAATGGGACACCTGTATATCTAGATCAAGCATTCTTTCTAAAAAGTGAAGCCGAAAGTTGTCAGTTTAAGATAGGAAGAGAAAATTGTTTTGCGTCTACTTCTTTTTCACTCTAGCTTACATCAACTGTTAAGAGTCACTATATTTGTACCACAGTTATCAAATTAAGTATATATTTATAGACTATAGAAATATGTAAAAGGAAAATATAAAATATATGAAAGAAATATAAAAAATATGTAAAGTAAATATAAAAATAGAGATAAAAGGTTTTATTATCCTTAGCTTGTTATATTACAATACATTCGCTCTATGTTTCTATACCTGTAAAATTAAATTTTGTCCGACTTACGTCTCAAATGTACGCCATAAACAAAACACCATATTGTTTTATATCTTGTATAATTTTTCTTCTTTTACTGTTTATAGCAAAGTTAAGTTATTAAGTATGGGTTTTACTTTATATGAATAAGCCAAGAGTAAGAAAATAGTAGACGCAAACCAACGTTCTCTCTTACTTATAAACTGTCAATTTCTGGTTTCATTCGCTGCTATAGTAAAAGTATACGAATGCTTGGTTTAAGTGTATATGTCATTGTTATCTATTTATGACAGAAGTCGAACTAAAAAAAATGTTTAAAAAAGTGAACTGAGAAATAAACATTACGGATTTATGCAAAATAAATAAGAGTAATAGTTAAGGAGATGAATAATATAACATATTGTTTCATATAATTTCTTAATTTTTTTCTTGCTTAGAAAAATTCGATAAGAATTGAAGATTAGAGAGAACGGTATAGAAATATTTAGAAATATTTCTTATGCTATATATGCTACGTATATTCCATTCATGTTTCTACAAAATATTGCTCTGCAAAGGTACGAATCGATCAGAAACGGAATATAAATATTGATTGCAACTTAATCGATAACAACTATCAAGTGACATATTTTCGGTTATCATAATCTCGTATCTTGATGCCTCTTTTATCAAAAATAAGACTTGATAGTTGTCATCGATCAAAAGTGATCTTTTATAAAAACATGGATGAAACATAATATATAAGATTTCTAAATATTTCTATACCGCTCTTACTATTCTTATCGAACTTTTCAAGAAAGAAAGAAATTAAGGCAGTGTCCTCGTTTAGAAGGCGAAAAAATCGGTGATTTTCGGGAATTTTTTCAAAGAAAATGAAATAATCAATTTCTGTAAACGTTTAATTACATGTTAATATACATTTTAACAATACAAAAAGTTTTTTATTGTCAAATTATTTAAAAATGGGGCGGAGTTGTTACGTGACAATCAAAACGCCTCGCTCCGATTGGCGGGACAAATGGAGCTCGTAATTTTTGTCTAAAACAAAAAAACTAAAAATATTTTTAATTTACATATATTTTTATAGTTGATAAACTAAAAAAACTAAGAAAAAAGCATCAAATCATACAAATGTATGAACTTAAACGAAAAAGTGATAATTTTAAAAGGAAAATTTTGCGTTCTGTATGCAACAGAAATTGTTTAAATTAAATTTTGACTTTTTTTTCATTTGGTTCATTTAGTTCAGTTCATTTAGGATGACTAACAGTACTCTAGAGAATAAACTTTGGTTTGGATCGATAGGTCAAATAGCTTTTTTGCTATCTTGCTCGCCAATTTAGTAAAATCACAAAACTAATATTTCGAGGAAACGCGAGTTAAAGTTTTCGCTAGAAAACATTCAGATGAATAATTGGTGGCGGGTGTTTAAAAGATTGTAATTGATCTGTGACTTCGGCTTGACGCCACTCACATCAACTGTCGGCTCCTTCAAGATAGTTTGTATGCCTTGGTTTCGTATCTGTTGAGCAATAATGATCTAATGTTGCCATTATTGCTTTTTTCATACTAACAACGGAATCCACATTTTTTCTTATAGCTAAGCCGTAATAGTTTATTAAGTTTTTAATAAGTACGTCCGTCAGTCGTTCCTTTCAACCAAAATATTGTTATATAAACCATTTTGAATCTTTGCTAAGCATTATAAAGAAAAAGCTAAAAAATCAACCAAAATATTGTTATATAAACCATTTTGAATCTTTGCTAAGCATTATAAAAAAAAAGCTAAAAAATAAGGAGAGCGGCCCGCTTCGGCTAAGCGTTTTTCTAGCTGCACGACGTTTATCTGCTCTCGGCTCTGTAATGTTCGTAATACGTCCCAACGGTCTTTAAAACTTTGAGAACATATTTTTCAATAGTTAAATTATCGATTTAAGCAAAAAGAAAATCGATTTTTTTACCTTTTAAACCAGGACACTGCCTTAAGAAATTATGTGAAATTAGAAAATATGTTGTATTATTTATTTCCTTAATTATTAATTATTACTTTTATTTATTCTGTTTAAATCTGTAATGTTTATTTCTCAGTTTCACTTTTTTAAACATCTTTTTTATTTCAATGAGGATTTTTAAACATCTTTTTTATTTCAATGAAACTTGACTCCTGTCATAAACGATCGATAAATTATTATAATGATCACGGTGCAAAGTTAGTTGCACTTATCATAACTAGAAGCAGTGCAAATATTATTATCAACAAAGTCAACGAGTGACTTTTTCGGCAATCTCTGTATTATCGTCCGAAGGGCAGGCAACTCGTCATACTGACTTGTATGTTGATGTTACACCCTGTACATAGTATATATCTGTAAAATTTTATTGATATCAAACGAAAATAGTTCATTAAAGTTTTACTGAAAATTAAATAGTTAATTGTATATTATGAAAATTCATAAATAGATATTAACTGTTAATATATTATTTTAACATTAATCCTTCACATAGAGGAGAAGTATAAATACGATATATTCTTACAGTAACGCTTACATATGTTGCACTATATATTGCAGGATATATAGTTTCAACTGAAATACATTTTAACGACGATCTCTTTGTGAGTTTCAAATAAAGTTTCGCGAGCAGAAAGCTTGCAGCTTTTCGAGAAGAATCATCATTTTATATAAGCTTTTAATTTTTAACATTAAATATCTTGTCGTAAATGAATATGAAGTCTAAATTTTCTGTTAACGTATCATCCGCTTTAATTTAAACGAAAGCGAAATTTTAATTAATTGAATGTGGTTTATATAATTTTATCTATATTCTTATCTACATATTATCTTAGCTATATTATTTTCAATTGCTTAATTCAAAACGTAATGACATCATAAAAGTTTTTTTTTTAATACAAATATCAATTGGAAGTCACATATAAATTTTAATTATTCGGAATCGAAGAGAATTAGGCAAATTAGTCGAAGAATTTATCATTAAAATTTAATGCGATTAAAAGGAAAAAATATCCTGCTTATCAAGTATTTACAGTCAATACATCAGAATCTCATCAGAAATCTTTTCAGAATGGAATCGAATGGAAGCTATAGAATGAAACCATGATAAACGAGAATTTAGCGATACGTACTATTTTATATATGCAATAATTACACTTCGTGAGATAATAATCGAAATAAAATATTATTTTGACTGAGAATCATTAAGAATAATGCTGCACACGCGCGTTTCTCTACACTCCTTTATCGTCATACGTATCCCCGTGTCTTTCCTGTTTTATATAAAGGAGTTTTATGTAATCTAACTTCTAGCTAGTAGCATGCTACGTAGAATGCTAATTAATCGTTATGATATTGCAACGGAGTCGAGTCTGCGTATCGAATTGTTTTCGAAACTTGCCGTTTAAATGAAACATACACATACAATGTAATAAACGATCAGAGCGTGAGCGTGAAATTCTCTCGCGCACAAGAGCAGCATACTGCAACGTGATGAAGAACGGTGCACGATATGTTAATACCATTGAAACCACCCTGTTAAATCACGCGCGACCCATGTGACAACTTATGATCCATGAATCTTACGACGAAACATGCACCATCGTTGCTTAACTGCATAAGATGCATACTCCGCGAATAGTCACGGAACCAAAATACATCTATAAACTGCAACATCGGGAGCATCGTACGAAGCGGAGCGTTGTTCACACACAAGCGCCCTCAACCGAGGAAATAGAAAAATCGATATTTTCCACAATTATATATCACGTACCGCGCGCAGCTTATATAACTCTTTCTGGAGATGCAATAAAATAAGTAAAAAATAAGTAAAAAAAGTGTGTTGCGGTAATTATAATTGTACAATTAAACGGTCGATTCGTCGAACTAAGTTTCTATTAAATGCGGAAATCAAATCGGATTGAAAAAAGAAGGAAGGGCTAGATAAAACATTCACAATAACCGAACAGAGAACGATCGCGGGGTGTACGTGATCGGGGCAAATATAAAATTTTATCGACAAAGCATCGATAAAGAGAAAGAGAAAAAGAGAGAGATATAGAGAGGAGGGGAGTGGGTGTGGAATGCGTGTGTGCTGAGAATATTCTGATAATTATAACATAACTATCACACATTGTTATTAATACGTCGCACACATTTTTCTCCCCCTGTGTTCTATTTAATCCCAAATAAAAGAAAAATCTTCAAACGCCCCAGCGTATAAAATAACATCCGTGCACCTCCGCCTGGCGTGATTAAAAGCGATAAAAAAGAAAACATTGTCTTGGAAGGGTTAAACCGGATGCGCCTTCCACAACTCGCCCACGAAATCGCAAGCACTGGCGCATCCTGAGTGAAAGGGGGTGTTTTGGGGTGTGAAATACGAGCGTCGCTCGCGCTCTTGCGGTCATGCGTTCTCCAGTCGCTTGCATTCACCCTCATGCGGTACTTACCGCAGGAGGGGGATATGGAGGGGCTCGTATTTGAAGAGCGGCCGCGCGATTTTGCCCCGCAAACGAGAGGGAGAAGTCACGGCTTCAACCGCGCGCGGCAACCCTTTGGCGAACAAACGCGGAGCGCACTGACAGTTGATCGAAAGAGCAGCAGGTGACTTCAAAAGTGCGCCCTGAGGAAACCGAAAGTCCTTCGAGAGTTTCGAAGGAAGATCCCGATATGAAGGTTAGTTCGGTGAATCCGACTTAGCATCTCCGAGTAATAATTCGACGGGTTTCGTTGAATTCGTTCGTTTTGCTGAAGGGCTCGTTCTTCGACTTATGTGCGGATATTAGTGCGCTCGAGATGGATTTTATTCGACGCGAGAACCGGCTCCTTAAATTTTAATCGAGCTTTCGGCATATGCGTTTCTTTCTCTTCCCAAGATTCTGATTGGAATGTGATAACTTCTCATAATATTTCGTGATACTTACCGAATTATATCCGGGAATTATGCAAGATACTTTGTCGTGAACGTAAAAAAGTAAAGGGAAATAAAAGTGGAAGTTTTTAAATACGTTAATTGATAAGGAATTATTTAATTGATTAATTGATAAGAAAAATTTTCATGATAAAAAATTTTTTTATTAATTTAATCTGAAAGACATTTGATCACAATTTCCAATCGCTCCGAATATCTCGATATTGATCGATATCAGAACAATCCTAGATTCGTTCACAGTCGAAGTCAAATAACAGAAAGAGAAATATGCAAGAGAAAAATGCGACACGCTGTACGTGAAAAAACATATGTACCGCATTTTTTTAATATTCTATGTTAATAGAACGTTATTTCACGTACGATCACTGCCACTTAATGCAGCAAAAACATTCGCGAAAATTTCCACGAAAAAATATCCAAATATCAAACGCGATGATACTGCGAATCCGATTCTTTTCATTTTCCCGTTATGCAAATCGGATTCATAATTCGCCGCACGGAGTCTGTTACGCCGCTGACAGACAAACGATCGTAACCAATTGTGGAGTTAATTAAACCGTATGCGAATTGAAACATATGCGTTTACTTTAAACGTTTTACGCGCTCCGTCGCGAATAACGTCATAACTTGGCTAATTGTCAATTAGCCATAGCACAAAATTGATCGGGAGCGCTTAAGCAGCTTATAAGCCGCGCGTTCGTGGCTTCGCGGGCTTATACGAACGCTTATATAACGAAAACATTTGTCACAAATCGCTCACGCTCAATCGCATGCACACAACACACACACACACACATATACATCACTCGCATTAAGTGTTCAATTATTTTTTATTGCATCATTCACGTCTCACAAGGCTATTAGTCAGATGGTTAAAGAGCTTTCTGTTAACCTTTGTTTCGTTTGACAGGTTACCGAATACCTCTGCTGCACCCTAGCCTGCATGTGTCTGCTAAAGATGGCAAGCTCCGAGATCTCGAGGGACAAGGTGAAAACATACGCCACGTGTAACAGCTTCAAAACGGGTCTGATACATAATTTTGAATATTACATAATTTTGAATATTTAAAAAGGAATTTAAATGTAGATTGTGTGTACTTAAAAGTTCCGATTTTACGCCGAGAAAATATGATATATTAATTTTAACGTAAATCCCAATATAAATAGAAAACAAAAAAAATTAATTCCTTTACGCAAAAAACGGGATAAAATTATTTTCGCGCAGAATTAAAGTCTTTTTACCTTAATAAAATTTAACTGTAAAATAAATGCAAATGGAGATATTCATACAATTACGTGTCAGAAATATAGATCTTTTATATAATTATATTCTTTGACCATCGAAAAAGATAGTAGAATGGCAGATACAAATGATAGATATTCATTAATTTTGTATCAACGAATAACGAAGTGTTACGTTTCGGGAAGATCAAACGTGATAGCAAAATCCACTTTTACAGTTCGAACGCCAACTCCTGGATGCTCTTACAACGGAAAGGACAATGAAGCCCAAGAGACCCTTTTGCAACGCTTTTACAGGTAAGGAATAATAATCTCTCTTCGGTTTCAGCAATTATATACATACAAATCTCTTCCTCAATTATTCATTAAATACATAACTTAAATATATTAAATACATAATTTTGAATATTTAAAAAAGAATTTAAATGTAAAGAGAATGAATTGTGTATATTTGAAAGTTCCGATCTTACGCTGAGAAAATATGATATATTGATTTTAACGTAAATCCTAATATAAACAGAAAACGAAAAAATAATTCCTTTGCGCAAAAAATTTAATAAAGGTTTCCAGCTGAACGCAATGGCTGAACGCTTCGAAACTTCGTAACCTAAAGAGCTCATAAAGTGTTTTCGATGCTTCTGCATAGGATGCGGTAGAAAAAGGAGTTTTTCCGCGAGTATACCCACTCTGCGAGACTCGCAGGACTTCCGCGCGAACGACAACGTTCGACTTCCGGTTTCTCTGTACAGAGCACTACTGCTGAACGCCGCCAAGCAAAACACCTGGGATGCAATCGATCGTGAGGAATACGATTATCGATTACGACGAATACCGCAGATCTATCTACCGGGTCAAACGCCTCTACGCGACACGTTGGAAAGCTAATCTGTCTGATAAAACTTGACGCGTAGACGCCGACCAGGATTCACGATTCAGGATACCTCCGTTAGAGAGATGTGCGAATCAAGAATTTTTATGTCGAATCAAATCGAATCGAATCTCATTTTTTAAATTCGAATTCGAATCGAATCGAATTATGAAATTTCATTTGAATTCGAATGAAATCGAATGAAATCGAATCAAATCATTAAAAAATTTAACATGATTATTAAACATGCAAATAATAATAGAAGATTTTAATATGAAAGGGAATATTGATATTGTAATATCATCTTAAAGTAAAATATATATTTAAATATTTAAAATAATTTATAATTAAGTTATTAATTATAAATTAAGTTAATTACAAGTTGAGGGTTCAAACATACAGGCCCAGGTGGCCCGTTTTGTAGCTGATGCGCGCAAACGCTAATGTATTTGATTCGTATTCGAATCTTCGCGATTCGAAATTTTCGAATTATTCGGATTCGAATCATAGGGATTCGAATTCGAATATAATCGAATTACATTAGATTCGATTCGATTCGATTCAAATTCGAATAGTTCGCACATCTTTACTCTGTTATCATATCCGAGTGTGCACCGTAAGATTCATCGCGCGACCTCGACGAAATATTCGATAAAAAAAAAGAAAAGAAAAAATCTAGTCAATATCTGGTTTATCTCCTTTTTCAGGAGAGAAACTTCAGTTTTCTCGCGGAAATTCGAAAAGTCACAATCAAGCGTGCTGTCGCATCTTCTTATTTATTTTTGCCTAGCTGCGTGCTTACTGTCTTGTCACAGTTAAACAAACGTAAATATAAATGAAGGAAATATACACACATACACACACGTGCGCGTATATATCTGTGCACATAAAATCATACGATCTAAATATCTTATTTTATATACAACTTTTACGGGCGTGAAATACTTTCTCTCCCTTCTTCCGCCTTCGTCGTCGAGGAATTCTACCGCTGCGCGCGAATTGTCCGCGAAGGAAGTATATAGAGATATAATCGATGTAATTATCGACGCTAGCTAGACTTAGCTTAGACATCTCCGTTCGTTCTTAAGAGTATCTCGATAGCTATGTATTTATTTGTATGTGCCTCATCCTCCCCCCTCCGATAAGGTCATGATTGATTTGCTGTTAACGACTTCGAACCGTATATTTTTCAAACGACTGTTAAATTACATCTGGTTTGTATCCAATAAATTCTATAAAATCTGTTGTCTATAGTTAATTACTATTCAATATACAGTTATTCTATTCGTTACACCTCTCTCTCAGCATTCTTTTTCTTTTCATTCCATGTATAGTGCAACAGGCAGTAAAAAAGAAATATTTTACGACGTGTATACTTTCTTTTATGGCAATGTATAATGTAGCGAGCAATATGTATAACATATATAATTACACGTAACAAACACTTCTATCCGACGTGACTGCACGTATACACATCTCATATGGCTTATAGATAAACGGTAAGTTTTATCAGCATTTTTCCATTCCACGTGTACTTCGAGTATTGCTGAGACATCGAAGACGACAGTTTTGACAGAACGACACGCCTGGGAATACTCAATCCGACGCACTCCGGATTGTCCGGCTTCCCCTTTGACGCAGGCTGACCCCAGAAATGTTCCGTGCACAGCGTAGCCGGATCCCAAATGCGAGACCGTCGGTCCTCGCGCACACTTTTCGGCGAGTGATCTAAAACCTGCCGAGTCGCATTAGGCCGATGAACGTTGATCGCGTTTTATCGATGCAATGTAATCTAGAGGAATGTGAAAAATGTAATTCAAAATTTAAACGAAAGGCGAGGCATCTCACGGACGACTAATCTTCGATGCAACGTAACTCGAAGGTAATTCAATTTTTACACCATGTAATATAATTGAAAGAGAAATAATATACGCAAAGGAAATCGCAAGGTGGTTGTTTTGAGACGCTGGAAGATCCACCGACTCGGCCTTCCCGCGGCGCGCGACTCGAACAGTGGGAAACTTCAATTGTATGCACGGCAATGTAAGTGCATACGACAAAGGCATGTACTTGTTGGAAATTTTTAACTCGGTTCGAAATCACCCGATTGTATTACGAAGTTTCTTCTCACGCCGTCTCAAGAGAGCCTTTCCTGATGCGCAACCGAGATGGTAATTCGATGCGACGTCCCGACTCCATACTTTTCGTCTTACCTGCAGGCACATGCTCGACCGTGGACTCTCTTTTATACTGTCCCGCAATTGCGTTACTTCCCCTATCCCGAGAAAACCCGAATAAAATCTCGAACGCGTTACCAATTCATCCCCGAGGCGAAACGAGAATCACCTGGGCTTCTCTCTCGCCTCCTCCCTCTCTCACCTCGACGTCGCGTCCTCACCTCGAGACGGATCCCAAATGGGAACGGCCACGCAAGAACGGAATCGTAAGGGCCGCGCGTCAATCCAACGCCGATGAAAATCGTACCGTCGGGGAAATACTTGGGCGTAACTTTCAGGTACAAGTTGTAGCCGCTTGGACCCGCGTGGAAAGTAGGGCTGCGTACCGAGCGGCCGGTCGGCCAGCTCATCAGCATCTCGTCGAAGTTCTCTACTCGCCAGTAATAGACAAACGCGCTCGTCGCACCTGAAACGCGAAACAGTCTCGCGTTACTGATTCTTGTGCTTGGCGAATGCTGAATGTGCCTTCCTGATCCTTAAGTCGAAATTACGCGCTTGTATCGCACAATGACGTTCATGTTCAGAAAATCGGGACTTGGAATTGAAAAGAGCAGACTTAGGAAATAACTCATTACTTGTATTACAAAGTTACAGTCTAGAGATGTGCGTATCAAGAATTTTTATGTCGAATCGAATTGAATCGAATCTCATTTTTTTAATTTGAATTCGAATCGAATCGAATGAAATTGAATCGAATCATTAAAAAATTTAACATATTAAACATGCAAATAATGATGAAAGATTTTAATATGAAAGGGAATATTGATATTGTAATATCATCTTAAAGTAAAATATATATTTAAATATTTAATGTAATTTATAATTAAGTTATTAATTATAAGTTAAGTTAATTACAAATTAAGAGTTTAAACATGATTCCCCAGATGGCCCGTTTTTGTAGCTCATGTGCGCAAATGCTAATGTATTTGATTCGTATTTGAATCTTCGCGATTCGAAATTTTCGAATTATTCGAATTCGAATCATAGGGATTCAGATTCGAATCGAATCGAATTACATTAGATTCGATTCGATTCGATTCGAATTCGAATAGTTCGCACATCTCTATTACAGTCGCAGTTATTTTCTTTTTTTTTTGGTAACTATAACCTAACTTCATTCAGTTTTCTCCATCTGTAACTGTGACTTAACTTAATTATTATATTTGTTTAATAACTAGTAACTAATTTAATAGTTACTTTATATATTTCAAACTTAAGTTTCTGCCAGACCAGCATAATAACGCGACGCGCGATGCTTTATATTCAATAAACATATAGTTATTCTGCATTTGGAAAAAGCTCTATTACGTTATCTATCTTTATTGTTTATTAGATATAAAACAAGCATAAAATGACGCAACGGCGCTGGTAGTCTTCTTTCCGAACGTGACCTGTATTTCTCTCAAAAAAATTGTACGCCTATTGGACATTTCCGTCGCGCATCGCCAGTCCTTATTTGTTAACATAACCTGCATTCAACGTGAAGTGCACTGCGTGATTTCAGTTATATAAAAAATTCGAGCAATGGATAAAACATCTCAATTTTCGGAGAAGGATTGTAAAATGCCATGGTCAGCAAATGTAGAAATATTGGAGTTGTAGCAAAAATTTGGAAACGAGAACAATTGGGCATTTCTCTGCAAAACATGCGCTAGCAAAAAAATTATTCATGCAAGTAGAACTTCAACTGCAAATTTAAGAAAACATGAGTATAAGTCTTTATTTATAAAATATCAATATATTTTTTAATGAAAAAATATAATTTTTTATGTTAAGATTACTTTTAATATTTTTAATATTTATTATCCTCATTAAATTCATTCACTTTCTTATAATTGTTATTAATAGTCTTAAAGAATAAATATAAATCGCTTATTTAAATTAATGAATCTAATTTATGAAAATTATATACAGTACGAGAAATATAGTAATCAACAAACTACTTTTATATAAAATTGAAGGAATTTACACAATTACAAAATTTAAAATAATAGGACAATTATTGTAAAAAAAGAACTGGAAACTAACGACTCGTTACTTTCTAAATAACTGTAACTGTAACGTGTTATTTTTGAAAGTCAATAACTTATAACTGTAATTAATTACTTTTTCCATAAAAACAACTGCAACTGTAACTAGATAATTTTACAAAGTAACTTTCCCAATCCTAGGAAAAAAGTATACTTAGCGTGGGCCAAGCGTTCCCTTGATCCTTTGCGGCTGCGTTATCGTTTTTCTCTCGTTGGTCCAGTTATCGTGATCTCCTAATAGAATTACTACTTAATTAAGCATGCCATGTCGAATTTCCCGAAGAGCCCAGATTCACTCGAAGACTCGTCATCGAGAATCGATATGCTAAATTTTTTGCGTTACGTTTTGTGCGTCACGAAGTAAACGAAGCGCGAATATCGCGCGACACGTACGCCCTGTTCCGAATTGCGTTCGGTAATTGATACCTATCGATCTTTTAATTATTACGTAATTGTATAATGGACTTTAAGAGAGGTTGCTTACAGGCTTCTCGGCGGATGGCGTAACGTTTCGCGTATTCAAATGCGACCGAGTTAATCATCTACCACGGTCCGGAATAAATCTCGGTATTTCGTTGCACTATTCATTTTGCTTGAATCAGGTTTATCCTGACTAAGCTACAGCTTTGTCGTTACGGCATGGACGCCGTGAACTTTCCACGACCATGCGTCCTCGACAGATCCATTTGCATAAAACCACACGTCTCTTACATACAAATGCTTACCTTACATATAAATGCTTAGCTTAGGCCGAAGTAACAATGCACATTGTGCAAGAAGCGCAAGACTTCCACACGCAAAATCCGTATTACATTCTTTGACGTTATTCCGGAGAACGGCGCAAATACGCACATACTCCGACGTACTGACACGAAATTAAAATATTACGTTTCGCGAGCCGTTTAATCCCGGTTTTCCGGAAACTTCGCGTTTCATGCACACATTTTTATGCATCTTCAAACGATCGAAGGCGAAAGACATTTCGCGAGTCGGACCTTTATATAAAATGCAATTGAGTCATAATGTTCTCTTATTTCTTTCGACCTCTGTTCGCGTGTTATCTTTATCGCGTTTATACTTTGCAGATTTTAATTCACGTTTTAATTCACACTGAGATATTCATTTCGAGACGGTGACGTTTGATCTCCGCAATGTGATACATTTTCCAATTATTACGAAAGCACCAAAATAGAAATCCTTTTTTCTGTCGCTTAAGCGGTAATCGTAATGTAATATATAGGACTACTACAAGACCGCCGTTTTACCAGCAAGTTCATTTGCATGCAACTAATTTCATTCGTATACGGGTCACAGAATAGATGCCGCGCAGAACCGCAGGGACACTTGCCAAGTATTGAGAGAACTTGAGGCCCAGCAGTTGCTGAAGAACCACTTCGCGTTTGGCCGAGAGCGTAAAGTTAACTTCTAACTAACGTCGTGGCAAACTACAAGTTAATAGACGCCGTTGGCCGTGTTAAAAATTCTTTCAAACATGCATATACCTGTTACACAGCATTGCTTCGACCTGGAAAAAGCGCGTTTCCGAATTAAAGCAGAATAGCACTGACCGCTCGTCGTCGGCAAGTTTTGTAGAGTGTTGTTGAATTTGTCTATCTCATCTTGCCTCGGAGACGGGTTATTGTCGGGAGTCCTATCGTAAAAGACAGCATTCCGTACGTTTGTCAGATGATTCGGATGTTGCTCCAAGATGCTGTAAAGCAACCACTTGATTTCCGCAAATTCCTTGATCAACTTCTCCTCCAGACTCGCGAACCTTTCCTCCATTGTTTCTAGAAGCACAGGTTTTATCTCTTTTTTTCTATGAATAATAGCGGTTAATTTCTTGCAAGAACGGATGGAATTAACATTGTCCCCTTTAAACAATTAAACGGCTTTTAAAGTTCAATCCGATAAGCAGCAGAAGCGATTGCCTTGATGGAAATTACAACAAACAGAACAGACACTTCTTTTCAGACGAAAATTTTAGTATATGAACTTTCCCTTCGCAAAGAAAAATCATTAAAATTACATGTTCTCTTTTCCAATATTCAATATAATATATATATTTTCAATGTAATCATTTAGCAGATTTCATGCGGACGCAACAAAAACATCTCGTCAGATTAATTGAAAATTAGTATATATTTAATAATTAAAATAAAATAACTATATATATAACTATTATATTATATAATTAATTATATAACTATTTATATTAAAATTATATAAATATATAAAATAACTATACATATAAAATTATATAAAATTTATATAATTATATAAAGTAACTATATATATAGTTTTTTTATTTTAATAATTAAGTATATATTAATCTAATAAAATCTAATCTAATAAAATAAAATTTAAAAAGAAATTTAATAAAAAATATATATATTTCTTTTCGTAAAGTTCACACATTCTTTTTCAAATATTTATGAAAAAAGTTATATAAATTATAAAGTTTCTCTCTACTCACTCGCTTTACAAGCTCCGATGAGCACCCTTGTAAAGGTGGCATGCGCGTCCGCGACCATCTCCTCTGTGACAATCTTGCAGCTCGCCTGATGCGTTTCCGTGGCGTCATTGCTGGTGATATTGGCCTCGATCTCGGCTAAAAATTGCGGTAGGGTATATTGTGCCGAAGAAAAAAATCGTACTTGACGAGAAACGCACCAAAATATACACGTAAAAACACTACCTCGTTAGAAATAAATGAAGTAGATAAGAATAAGTTGATAAGAATTTATTTTCTTCAAATTGCGTTATTCTTTGTGGGTTATGAATTTGTCTGCTTATTCAACTAGAAATTCGTTAAAAATTAATATATATATTCTATTTTCTCCTTTTCTTAAATTATACTACTTATAACTTTAATATCAATATATAACGTACCACACATATGCGCGCATGTTTTATCATACAATTTTATTTCTATAAAATTTATTTCTTAAAAATTTTCACTTGGATCGTTTGTTTCTAAAATAAAAACAAAAGGAAAATTTGAAATTTATAAAAAAAAATTAGTGATTTGTACAATGCTGTTGCGATGATATCACGTCTGATTCAATTTTATAATTTCAAGCTTAAATTTATATACAGAAATTAAGAATTCGATTTTTCTGGTCATAACGCAGATTGAGATACAACAGATCGATTAAATCGTGCCAACGCATCGACTTTGACTGGAAAATATCCACGTAAGCTAATCGATCTTTTGTACTTACGCATTTTCCGCAAAGGTTCGCTCACACCGCCGTATGCCAAATAGAGCGCACTGAGATAAAGCAATGATACGGAGCAACGCGCGATAGCCGGCATTTCGTGTCGCACGTGTCGTACATATGGCATGTTGCGAATTCATCTCGTGACCGAAATTACAGTCGACCTCAAACGCAACAGTGGCTTCCATCATACACAAAAATAGATTTTATCGTCTTTTTATTGCCCGATGAAAACGCATTGAAGAAAAATCCGACACTGATGTATCATACTCTGTAATGTGTCGTTTATCTCTTTGCAATTGAAAATTATTAAATTATTGGTCTTTTTCTAGATATTTGTACAAGTATGCTGTGTAAATTATAATGTTAGATTATCGGTAGCAAATATTATACTTATATATCCTTTCGTTAAGAAATATAATTATGCATTTTTCAAAAAACTTTATTGATGAAAGAAAGAAAGAAATCAAATAATGATTAATAAAAATTGTCAAACAATACGAAACAAAGATAGAAAATTCAGATGATCAGAAAATATCCAAATGTCAAATTAAAAGAATAATATTTGCTGTTAATGTTAGTTACTTTAAAACAAAAAGATACATGTAAGTAAATAAAATTAAAAATCAAATTGACACAAACATTAAGAATTTAGCATCATGAAGTGTTAGATACTTTTACAATATTACAAGCGAATAAATATTAACGAATTACTATTAACGAATAAATATTAATAATTACAAGCGAATAAATATTATTATAAAGTTTTACAGAATATAAAATATCTCATATAGAAATTTAATTTACCAATAAGTTAATAATTAATTACTTATTTTGTATAATAAAAGTATTGTTATTAGTAATTTCTAGTGATTCAATTATTGAACTTATAAAGATCACAAAGAATTTCAATATTTCAAATGGAAATGATTAAACATTATTACAGAAAAGTACTACTGGTTGGTCCGTAATAAATTAATGTTACTCTGACTAGTCATTAATGATGTTGAGTATTTAAATAAACGTTATTAAAATAAGAATTGCTAATAATTTCAGATAATTTTCAGAATACTTTAATAATGTTCATCAGTAATTAGTACTTACAAAGAAATATAGGGAACTCGAAAATTCAAAAAATTATGAAACTTTGTGGAAATAAAGTAGTTTATCCGTAATGCAAAATTGTTTTGTTTATGCGGAATTCTAGTCTGAAATCACCTTTCGAAGAAAGAAAACCATTTCCATTTTTGCGTATATTTTTTAAAATATGAAGCATATGCAGAAATGGTTTATGTAAAACTTGTAGTATTGTAGAAGTTGTAATATATTTCATACATTTTGCAACTGTGTATTCAGATTTTGCAAAATTGGAGGAGGCCGGAGGGGGTTTCGAAAATTTTTCCAATTTGAAAATTAGCACCCCCTTCCATATCTCGCCCTCAAAATCAGACTAAATTGTCAAAACTATATAAAAATGAAGGTCACTATCGAGGTCACTATTAATTATTACGTATGCTATGCAAAATTTCGACGATCCTTTTCCCCCCAACTTTAAGGGGCTATAACTCGGAGGGAAAACATTTTTAGACATGTTTATAGGAAACTTCTTTTCTTATTTTGACCCCTAGAATACGCCTTTAAAATCTGTAACATACTTTTAGATACACTTTGTATATGAGGGCTATATGATAAGTACCCGTGTTTAACGACAGATAGTGCCACTGACGCAAAATTTGTATATCATTGTGTAACGCCATCGTTCAAACTATGCCTGTCAAAATTTCAGACAGATTTATCAAATAGTTTTGTTTTGATAGCTGATGAAAGTGGGCAAGTACATGTTTGTTTGCAACATGGAAAAAGAGCAATATCGATCAGTGATTCGATTCCTTTTTTTTGGATGGGAAGACGTGTGAGGAAATCAAAATGAAGTTGCATGCCGTTTATAAGGACTATGTACTTTCGATGACTCCCATCCCAGATATTGGTTTAATGAATTCAAGCGTGGCGGAACATCTGTTTTTGATGAAGAGCGCCCAAACCGTCCAATTGAGGTGATTAGGAGAATATGGTCAACAAAATCCATGATATCGTATTAGCAGACCGTCGAGTGGAGATCAGAGAGATTAATGACATTGTAAACGTCTTAATTGAACGCGTACAAAATATCCTACACGAAAAATTTGGCATGAGAAAGCTATTGGCGAGATGGGTGTCGCATTCGCTTACAGTGGAACAAAAATAGAATCACTGACAACTAGGGAGCACTATTTGGACATGTTTAAGCAATCCGAAAGAGTTTCTGCGGCGTTTCGTGACTATTGACGAAACATGGATCCACCACTACACGCCAGAAATGAAAGAACAATCAAAACAGTGGACGTCATCCGGCGAACCTGCTCCAAAGGAGACAAAAACGGTTCCATCGGCCGGAAAGGCCACTGTTTTTTGGGATTTGCGAGACATCATCTTCACCGATTATTTAGAGAAGGGAAGAACAATCACGGGGCAATATTATGTTGATTTATTTCCTCAATTCGACGCTGAATTGATGAAAAAACGGTCCCATTTGAAGAAAAAAAAAGTGCTCTTTCACCATGACAACGCACCAGCTCAGTCCGCAATCGCCGTAGCAAAACTGGTCGAATTACGCTATGAATTGCTGTCTCATCTACCCTATTCCCCAGATTTGGCGCCATGCGATTTTCTTTTTTTTCCAAACATGAAAAAATGGCTGGCGAAAAGCGGTTTACGTCAAACGAGGAAGTCATCACCGAAACAGAAGCCTATTTTGCGGAGTTCAACAAATCATATTTTTTAGATGGCTTAAAAAAGTTGAAATATCATTGAACTGGAGTGTATCGAGCTGAAAGGAGATTATGTTGAGAAATAAATAAAGAAAATTAAGAAAAAATACATTTCCTTTCTTAACACGGGTATTTATCATACAGCCCTCGTAGATATATAGATTATTAGTTATGATTTGTGTAGATGTAATTCTAGAAATATATTTTGTCAGTTATTATATTGTGTAAATGTAATTCTAATAAATGTAATTTGAGAAATATATTTTATCAGTTTTATATTTTCCAGATAGTAGGATAATTATTAGAATAAGAAATGGGACGCAAATTTACATGCTTTTATTCCCTATTACATATATTGTATAACGAAAAATTGATGAGAAAAAATATTTTTGAAAAACTACATTGTATATAATAGAATGCCAAAGGTAGTCAATATCGCTATATTGGATGCGTCATTTTGAATTTTTTAATTTCGATCCTGGATTCTTTACCAGAGACCCGAAAAAGCTCTTGTAGGTAAGCTTCCATGTAAAATATAAAATAATTTGTTTTTACCAGTTTTAGCACAAAACATTGACATATATTTTTAACAAATTTTCACGAATAAGGATCCTGCTTTGCTGTTTCGAACTCTGTATGACCGTATCTTAAGGCAGTCTTAAGTTCAATTTTAGATACTCTGTAGCCAATGAAATAATTTGTAGAACATCTGAAAAAGAAAAACTTAAGACGGTCTTAAATATAAGGCCGGTTGCACACACGATGCGACGCTTACTGCTCGGCGAAAATTGGCTAAAGAATATTGCGGTAGCCATTTAGCATTTTGCTTGCCCGGAAATAGTATTTATAAAACATGCAATATATGGGACGTTGATTGGCTACCGCTGTATTCCCTAGCCAATTTCCGTCATGCAGCAAAAATATTGTGTCTTGTGTGCAACCGGCCTAAAGCAATAATCACACTAGCAATTGCCAATTGGATTGCAATTGCGATTGACGATTAGCAATTATTTTTCAACCAATCAGGGCAAACCGATTGAGATTGATTGATGATTGCCATTTAAACAATGCTCTATTTTAATCGCCAATCTCCAATCGCAATCGTAATCCAATCAGCAATCGCTGATGTAATTACGGTTTTAAGGCCGGTCCAGAATAAATTGCAAACACTCAGGCTGCGTTCCAATATTCATTGGCAGCACTGAAAATCTATAATATATATGACACAAACTATGTATTTCCAGTACTGGCGATAAATTTTGGGACACAGCCTCAGTTGCGAGTTACGAAGGATGGCAACTACATACAGGCTTCTATACAGGGTATCTATAAAGTCCGACCCCATCTCTGAATCTCGGAAACGGCTTTAAATATGGAAAAATGTTTCAGACAAAAGTTGTAGGATATTGAGGGGAACATATGATAAAAATATGGATTTGACCTTAAGTGACTTTATCAAGGCCAGATCAATGTAATCGATGTTTTCTTAAACAGAACCTCCTATTTTTTATTACATATTCTTATAGCCCTTGTCAAGATGTTTTCAAAACACTACCTATTTTTGTTTTTTGCCTAAGCCATTTCCAAGATATGAAGCTTCAAAGTTGACATATCGTCGGCATTCGCATTACTCAAGGTGTACCGCGTGGAGATTGCACGGTCGGATTACGCCTCTTGTGTGTGCGTGTGTGTGTGTTTATCTGTCTGTGCCCAGGGATGGGATTGGACTTTATAGATACCCTGTATAATACACTAGACTGCTAACTGCGTCCCTTTAACTGTTGCCAAAAAATATGTACGACTTGCGCAGAATACGGACTAAGGGATGTGCAGTAAACAGTTTTATATACTTCTGTAGGCGCGCTACCGTTTCAGCATGTTTTTCTGTATTTATTTACAATTTATATAAAAATTTGTGATTTTATCCATGAAATTTGTGACTATGAAAGAAGGAGGGCGTACTAGGTGGCGATGGGACGCTGTGCATTCGGGACCTGCATCTTATTTTCGTTCCGAAGTGAGAAAAATATCGAGAGCGTGGTAGTTGCTAGACCGGGAATCGAACCCGGGTCTTTTGCTTGCCGAGCTTTAAACCACTGAGGTACCTGACGCTCCACGACATTCTCCTCTCCCTAGATAACGTTAAGAGATGTCATTCGGAAGCGACATCTCTAGTGCTATCCCGAGCGCACGGCGACTACAGAGAGAGGCATTGGCCGCGTTCAGTGGAACAAAGTGATCAGAGATGCAAGCATTGGCTGCATTCAGCAGACTCAACAGTTAGACAACATTACTAGATTTTCCACTGAATCTCGCTCCTGATTGGTAAATACTTCTGGGTCTATGAAGAATCTAAAAGAATGCTCCAATCACAGACAATAATCACTAAGCGCTCTCTGATCACTTTGTTCTACTGAATGCGGCCATTGTTAGGGCCAGAGCACAGACTTCTGCATAACGCATAATACATAACGCATAAGAGAATCAACCAACCAGAGTTCTTCATTTCTATCTTGAGGAGGAAAATGAAGAAAACTAATTGGTTTATTCTCTTATGCGTTATGTATTATGCGTTATGCAAAAGCCTGTGCTCTTGCCCTTACTTGTACCTAGTGGTACAAGCTGGTGGTCTCTCAAAGTCAATGGTTGCCCTTGCCCTTAGGGCAAGAGCACAGGCTTCTGCATAACACATAATACATAACGCATAAGAGAATAAACCAATTAGTTTTCTTCATTTCTCTCCTCAGGACAGAAATGAAGAACTCTGATTTGTTGATTCTCTTGTGCGTTGTGTATTATGCGTTATGCAAAAGTCTGTGCTCTGGCCCTAAGGCTGTAAGGCTGTAACGTAAGCTGTCAGCGAATGAAAATATTTCATTTCGTGTCTTGCAACCTTACAGCCATAGAGCCAGAGCACAAACTTCTGCATAACGCATAAGTTATGCAGAAGTTTGAAATCAGAGTTCTTAATTTCTGTCCTGAGGAGGGAAATGAAGAACTCTGATTGGTTGATTCTCTTATGCGTTATGTATTATACGTTATGCAGAAGTCTGTGCTCTGACCCATAGGGCAAGAGCACAGGCTTTTGCATGACACATAATACATAACACATAAGAGAATAAACCAATTAATTTTCTTCATTTCCCTCCTCAAGACCGAAATGAAGAACTCTGATTGGTTGATTCTCTTATGCGTTGTGTATTATGCGTTATGCAGAAGTCTGTGCTCTGGCCCATAAAGGCCATCCAGACAAACTTGCATAAGCGCGTAACGCATATACATAAGGAAATTGACCAATTATGATCCATGTAGTAAAAAAATATTTTTTGTATTAAACATACGATTAGTCAATTTCCTTATGCATATGCGTTACGCGCTTATGCAAGTTTGTCTGGATAGGCCTATACTCTTACAGCTATTGTAGACAAGCCTATAGGCAACAAAGATGTAAAGTGATGTGAAGCATGTGTAGAGATAGGAGGAGGATATGTAGAAAATATTTTATAACTTTTATACGCACTAAAAACGAGAAAGTCACTTACTTTAATTAAAATAAATAATTGGTTATAACTCTGACAGTATTAATTTTTCAATATGTTTTTTGAAATGTTTCATGTTTATTAGGACTCTTTTTCTCTATTTTATATATATAAGTACTATTTGTTCTTAAAATCTTAAACTTTTTTTTTTAAATACGCTGTATAACTTTTCTTATTTCCAGAAAAACAAGACAAGGTGATTAGTCAACGCGTTGACATATGACGTATTGCGCTACCATTTTCTATAGCTACGTTCCGATATTCATTGCCAGCATTGAAATTTTATAGTATACGTGACACAAGCTATTTCACACAAGTATTTTCTGTACTGGCAGTGAATTTCGGAACGCAGCCTAGAACGCAGCTTGGTTTCAGTAGCAGTACTATTTGGTCTGTTCTTTGTAGCTGCACTGCTGAACTGGTGCAATAAGCTAGAGTGAGAAAACCTATATTTGTCTCACTTTAACTTATTGCACCAGTTCAACAGTGCAGCTACAAAGAACAGACCAATAGAGAGTAGCATTGGAGTAAAGCCAGCGGCACACGGTGCTTGTTTTCGTGCTGGATTGCTTGCTGAATGAAAATACTGCGTTCTGATTGGTGCATTTCCATCTATCTTCGGAAATGTACCAATCACAACGCAATATTTTCATCCAGCAAGCAATCCAGCACGAAAACAAGCACCGTGTGCCGCTGGCTTTATACCCAGCTTGCCCAGAGTCATCTATTGCATTGAATTGAAGTAGCAGTACTATTAGTACCATCAGTATTATTTCAGAACGTAGCTGATATTTGGGCGGTTGATCCATAGTTGGTTTGTTGTAAGATTCAAGTTATTTTATTAACTTGTATGGATTTTATCTGAACATGGGTGAAAATGTACAAGGAACGTTTATATCTGAAAAGATTTCCAAAATAAGGTGGCAACATGAAGATTTTACAGAAGCAAAGCATTTTTTAACTGGTAGTTGGGATAACCCGGTGAGATTATGTGGAGTATACTTAACCTTAAATTATAGTTTTGTCAAATAGAATAATGTATATGTAAAAAAATCATGACATACTTTCTCAATTTAACGAAAAATTTTTTTAGAAAATTAATTTTTATTTTTTTATGTATATATAAAAATAAAAATATTCTTTAATAAACAAAGGTTGAAGTAATTTTGATAATAAAATTTCTTGACTTCTTATTCACAGGTAAATAAAATAACGTACTGGACATTTAAGACAAATTATGATGAGGAACCATCCCCTATAGTCTTATCATCATATTCATTCCTAGGGGATGTCACTGAACTAAAAGTAATAATTCTTTTTGTCATAATAAAAACTTATCAATTTATTATATATACTAAATTAATAAAATGGAAACCTTCAGTTTATCAGCAAAGATTTCTTTGTGGCTTCGTCATCTTTGGGGTCAGTAAGGTTGCTACAAATTAATGAAGATGTATATACTGAATTTAAAGAACATATGGCATGGGAATTTATTCACTATTTCAAGTGAGTTAATATGATTACTCTGATTTTATCTAAGTTATATATTAAAACTACTTTAAGTAAATTTTAGTTACATATGTTTGTAGAACAGATTATGCTTCGTGTACTGCATTGTCAACATTTGAACAAGATATTGCTTCAGTAGGAGAAGATGGAAAACTAAATCTTCTCACAGCTGCAGAAAAGAAGCCAGTTAGGATTATCGGTAAATATATTAAATAACATATTAAATAATATATTAAATATATATTAAACAACATAAAAATATAAATACTAATAAATATTTATTTGATCTAACATTTATATTTCAAAAAATATCTTATTTTCTAATTCCAATTTCTAGAAAATGCTGACAGCTGCTCTATATATTGTGTTGATTTTTTGAGACACAGTGAAGTACTCACAGGAAATTCAAGAGGACATATGAAAGTCTGGGACTTAAGAAATGACCATGATGTGCCTGCTACTACCTTCATGCTTTCTGATCAAGTTAAGGTAAGCTGTGAATATTGTAAATTGTTTTCTTTGGTATTTTGAAATACATCTCCAGCAATTTTTGGACAATATGTTGTGAAGTGACAAAAATGTTTTCACAGATAGGAGCTACAAATATTACACATCATCCTACACAGAGGCATATTGTAGTTGCTGGTGGAGGTGATGGTAGTTTAACTGTGTGGGATTTAAGACAGAATACTTATCCAGTATCACAACTCAATGCGCATGCAAAATCTGTTAGTGAAATATTCTTCCATCAAGATAGACCTGATAATCTCTTCACTTGTTCTGTTAGTGGAGAATTATGGCATTGGAATAATGCACAAAATTCAAAACTAAAACTTGGTAAGCAATTAATATAGAGTTTATATATTAATAACTATTTTTTTATTATATGTTGCAATGTTGTATCAATTTTTATCATCTATTTTGCTATATCAGATTCTACAGATACACATTGGTTGAATACAATTAGCACAAATGGAAAAGTCAATGTGACTTCATTATGTGCAGCTATACATAAACCAATAAACAGTATTGATATCAACAAGTCAACTCTTCTGTGCGGATGTGACAATGAAGCTATGTATGTTGTTAGAAATGTACTTATTTAACACAAATAATATAGATGATTTTTATAATTTTATTATACTGAATAAATAATTGTGCCAGAGCCTTTCTTCACCAATCTGAATAATCAAGAGAATAAATGTGTGTGTGCGTGATACTTCATATTTTGATAAATATATTTTTTATAGTGAATAAAAAATTTATATATATGTATGTTTCATCATATTTCTCTAAATAAATTCATATTAAGAAAAATTAATTTAAGAAAATTTTTCAATGAAAAAGAAATATGAAAGAATGCATAAGTTTCGTCTGATTTTGAGGTTCTAGATAATGACTATTCTTTTTTGCATATAATTAAAGTTTATGTCGAATCATTTTTATAAATATGCATCCAGCGTTTTTCAACCGGTGCACCGTGAAAGGATTTAAAGTGTGCCGTGAAAATTTTCAAAAATCAGTTAAATTATTTCTGAAAGCACGTTCAAAGCACAGTAAGTATGTACATCAAAATTAAAACTTTTTTAAATTGATTACACGAATATATCATTGTTATAATAAATAAGCACCGGATTATTTCTAAAATGAGTGAGATGTAGCCTTTATTATAAATTATAATAAATAGTTTTATTTTCTGACCGTGATGATACATTTTGTTTGTGTTAATAAATAAATCAAAAAAGGTATATTCTTTTTTATACTCTTTTTTTTTTTTTTTTATCATAATTTAAGTGTGTCGCGGAAGTTTAACTATAGATTCAAGTGCGCCGTGAGATAAAAAGGTTGAAGAACACTGCTCTAATCTAAGGCCTGGTCTACAATACGTGTTGTAAGCTGTAAGCCGTAAGAACTGACCAATTATGGTCGATTATTTTTGTAATAACCAACGGTGATTCGCCAATTCTTACGGCTTATAACTTACGACACGTATTGTAGACCAGGCCTTAGTCTCTTATCGTTCGAAAAAGTCGCAATTTCTAATGATTTCAATCAATTCTACATTATTAGGTATGACTATATGATTTACTACACATTCCGTATATTGTATCAATTGTAGAATATTTAATGTTGTTACGTTATTTGATGTTTATTTTTTTAATGTTAATAATGTTTCGTAAATACTATAAGAATATATTAGATGTACAAATGAATAATCCAAATTATTTTAAACAGTTATGAAATCAAACAGTTAAAAATCATCACATTATTCTTACATTTTACATATAAAGCGTGGTCTACAATGGCAGTAAGCAGTAAGAAGTAAACAGTAAGCGTAAGCGGTAAGAAATAAACCAATCACAGTCGATTATAACAAAAATAATCAACTGTGATTGGTCCATTTCTTACTGTTCACGCTTTCTTCTTACTGCTTGCGGCCATTGTAGACCACGCTTAAGGAAATCGCGGAGATACAAAAAGCATTAAGACAAACATAAAAGTCCCATATCGTTCAGCGATATTCACAAAGTTACTGAGTTATTAATTACAGAAATCTGACGAACGCGCACCGAAATGGATGACTGAAAAAGCGCTGCAGCCGCTCGGGTTATAGCGTGGCTCAGCCGATCAATCAAATGTTCCTGGTGCACAGCAAGAAGAAGGACAACGTGCTGTTATTAGGGAGCACTCACTCGTCAGATCTCTATCATTAATAACTCGATAATTATTTCGAATATCGCAAAACGGTATGAGACTTTTATGTTTGTCTTAATCCGTTTTATGTCTTCGCCAATTCTTCGGACCGAGTTATGAGTTTTATATATTGTATCAATTGTCGATTTTCGTAATTTCGTATTTTCATATTTTCGTATTGTCATAAATTTTCATCGAAATGCGTTTTCCTATTTATTTCTGCATTGTATTTTCAATATTTATTTTTTAAGACTTCTAAATATTTCTGTACCATTTTTTCTAATTTGCTATCGAATGCAAGAAAGAAATTAAGAAATTATGTGAAACAAGAAAAACGTCTTCGTCAAATCGAGTCGGATGAGTTCTTAAGATAATCTTAGACGTTCTTATCAGCTGAGTTTTTGACAGTTAAAAGTATGGTCTATTTTTGAGAGGTGATTTAGTTCATTTAAAAGGAACAAACGTCCACTCTGTAAAAAAACTTAATACATAACTAAAAAAGACAAAAAAATTACGTTTATAGTGGAAGCTAATAGATATGGAGTGCATGGATTTACAAGTTGATGATATCGAAGATATTGATGATATTGAAGTAATAAGAGTTCCGAAGCGGTATACCTGTGATGGAGCTAATTCTTTCGAATTTTATAATAATTTTAAAAAACGTTTTAGATTCTCAAAAGAAACCATTTTACATGAAATATTACTTAAGATAGAAGAAGATTTAAAAAAAATAAATAATCGTGGTTTATCTATTTCAGTTGCAATGCAATTATTAACATGTTTGTGGTTTTACGCAAGTGCAAGTTTTCAAGTAAAAAGTTTCCAATATATACAGGGTGTTTGATAGCTTTTTTAAGGCTTCTAAATATTTCTATACTATTTTTTCTAATTTGCTATCGAATGCAAGAAAGAAATTAAGAAATTATGTGAAACAAGAAAAAGCTGATTATGCAGACGAAAGTTGGAGATAGATTGGGTGTAACCGAGAAGAAAAGTCATGTACCATAATGTCAAATTGGCAATAGTTATCGAGTTATTAATTAATATGTTCTACAACAATTGTAATAGCGTGTGCAGTTTTGCAGAATTTAGCTCTTATATTTTATGACGAATATTCCTGGTGATGAAAATAATATGGAATATAAAGACGTTTCTGTAAATGCGCCACATTGGCAAACTGGTGCAGGATTTGTAGCAAGACAAGCTCTTATTGAACGTTTATTCCGCTAAACTTTTCAATTCAAAAATATAAAAACTATTATTATTATTTATAAAGTTCTGAAAATAAATAATAAACTTTCAGATTGTATATTATACTGAATTTGTTTTTTATTAAGTTATTTTATTAAATTGTTTATTGCTAATCATTGAGAAAGAAGAAATATTAAAAACATTCAGGTTAATTATATATTTATAATTATATGTTGATTACATGTATATAACACTTTATAACACTTTATGATATTTTATAATACTTATATGACAAGAGTTTAACTATTATGGAAAAAACACTCAAATATTGAGTATTTATATTCAATTATTCGAATTTACTCTCAAATGTGAGCATATACAAGGTGTAACAGCAACATATAGGTCGGTATAACGGGTTGCTTGCTTCTATTCGGATGATAATGCAGAGATTTCCGAAAAACGTCACTCATTGACTTTATTGATAATGATATTTGCCGTATTCCTAGTTATGACAGATGCAACTAACTTTGCACCGTGTTCGTTATGACAGTTTATCAACCGTTTATCGACAGGAATCGAGCCTCATTGAATTAGAAAAAATGTTTAAAACATGAAACTGAGAAATAAATATTACGGAATAAAGCAGAATAAGTTAGAGTAATATTTAAAGAAATAAATAATACAACATATTTCCTGGTTTCGCATAATTTCTTAATTGTTTTCTCACGTTGGAAAGTTCGATAGAAATTGAAGATTAGGAAGAACGATATAGAAATATTTAAAAGTCTTATATACTGTATTTCATCCATGTTTCTACAAAAAATCGCTTCTGCAAAAATATGAATAGACTACAAATGCAATATACATATTGGTTACAATTTAATCGACCGCAACTATCAAGCTGCAAAAAATTTCGAAAAACAGGCCCTATTTTCGATAAAAGATACAAGACTATAATGGTCCTATAGATTATAAAAGGCCCTATTTTCGATGCCAAGATGCAAGATTATAATGTACCGAAAATATGTTGCTTGATAGTTGCGGTCGATTAAATTGCAATCAATATTTTATACGTTTCTAGTTCACTCATACTTTTGCAGAAGCGATCTTTCATAGAAACATAGATGAAATACAGTATGTAAGATCTTTAAATATTTTTGTATCGTCCTTTCTAATCTTCAATTTCTATTGAACTTTTCAACGTGAGAAAACAATTAAGAAATTATGCAAAACCAGGAAATATGTTGTATTATTTATCTAGTTAAATATTACTCTTGTTTATTCTGCTTTATTCTATAATATTTATTTCTCAGTTTCATTTTTTAAACATCTTTTCTAATTCAATGAGGCTCGACTCCTGTCGGTAAACAATCGATAAACTGTCACAACGATCATAGTGCAAAGTTAATTGCATTTGTCATAACTGGGAACACTGCAAATATCATTATCAATAAAGTCAACGAGTAACTTTTTCGGTAACGTCTGCATTATCATCCGAATAGAGGCAAGCAACCTGTCATACTGATCTGTATGTTCTCAGACAGTACACAGATGTCTATTGAACGTCCGTTATATGTCATTTTTTTTATAAAAGATGTCCATAGAACATGTTTGTCACAACTTCGGACATAGGACGTCCGATGGACGTACATCGGACGTCCTACAGGTTCAATGTCTAATAAGGACATCCTTGTTTCGTCCAATTTATGTCCACGGACGTAAATCGGACATACAGACACAAATTGGACATGAAACGTACATCCATTGGAACATCCATTCGATGTTCGGTGCTGTCTGGGTTGTTGTTACACCCTGTACACTTAAATTTGAGTATATACACTCACATTTGAGAGTAAATTCGAACAATTGAGTGTAGATATTCAATATTTGAATATTTTTTTCCGTAAGGGAAATTTACAAGACAAGAGTTTACATTTATTAAATTTATGTATTGCATTCTTTTTCTTAAAAATATATCTCTTAAATATATATCTTAAAACTTAGAGCATATTCGCTTTATTAGATATTTGTGCATCTTCTTCCTTAACCAACAATAATTCAGCTAATTTTGCTTGTGCTAAATATGCACGCAATTCTAAGTTGTTAATCTCCTTCAGGTGATTTTCTTTCATTGCATTTAATTTTTCTTCGTGTTTTATTTGTATATCTTTGAGTTGTTTCTCCTTTTCTATTATATTTTTAAGCCTTAATATTTTTAAATCATATTCCGTTTCCATCAATTTCTTCTTCTTTGCGGAGTTTGTTATATTTTCTGTATCCACATTTTCTTTAGACATATTTGTTACAGTTGCTAAAACAAAAGAAATATTATTGAAAATAATTCGCAACAGTTCTTGGCTTAAAGTAATTTTTTAAGAATAAACTTTTATTATTATATAATAAATGTATACCTATGAAAATTGATTGCTTTTCACACATCATATAATCATTTATATATTCTTCAATCTGTTCTATTTCTATATGTTCTATGTTCATATTTCGTAAGATCTGAGCTTTTCCATCTAAAAAATAAAATGAAATAATGATCAAGTATTATACTCTTAGGATATTCAATTAATAGTGATATGCGAACCTAACAAAATATAGAATAATGGCTACAAATTATTATCTTGACATAACAATAATTGTTTATAATCATCATTCTGTGTTGGCTCTTATTGGATTTAGGTGTTTCTATTTCTGTGCAAACAGCGCAGATCTATTAAAGATATTTCAAAAACATCCCTAAGAACGTAGAATAGAATACGATTCATTAAATGTTGCAAATCGTTACTTGTTGAACGCCATTAACAGCTTTGCTTTTAGGCCCAGTTCCACAACTTGCTTTAAACGGAGTTTAAAGCAAGTTGTGGAACTGAGCCTTAGCGTTCAAAGCGTTTGTAGTCTCAATCCTGCCTGCTATTGGTTAGGTGACAGGTTGCGCATGAACAGTTCATTTTTCGCTATGTTAACATCAAAGATGAAGAGAGTTGCGCTACTATGTATACTGTGGTTATAGTTCAGTGGTTCAGTTCAGGCCTTTAGATGGCGCTAAAATACTAGTCATAAATTTAACGTAGGAGTTTGTCATCCTTAGGTAATTTGCAATTAACCAATTTAATGAAATGTAAAATTTGTAAGATATCATGCTTATATTGTACCTTATAATTTAATTATAATTTTAAAGCCTTTATTTATTTTTCCTTGCAACGTAGTAATCATAAAAGTTCATCACTGGTAATAAATAATATTCATTATGTTGTAGTGTAAATAACTTTTGAATAGTAAAGTTTCCTTGTGTATAAATATAAAACAACTTTATTACTATTAGAATAATTGAATTTATATAATACTTAAGATAAATAATTTTATTTTAAAATTTTATAGATTTGAAATGATGTTTTAAATAATGTCAACATTGACAATATGAACGATAAAAATATAAGTAACGATTTGCAACTACCATCGGAAAAAGTACCGAAATGTTGGAATCAAGAAGAAAGAATGAATGCATTATTCTCACCATTTCGTAGTAAATCTGCTAATTCACAGGATTGGATCTCTAAATATAAGTTCTGGCATGATTTAATATATGAGTGGCTAAAATATACTGAACAATGTAGTTTTTCTATCAATGATCTAAATGAAGCTTTTAAAAGAAAAGGTTGTGTACCTCTTTGTTTAGTTACTGTGATTGAAGAACTTATCAGGTATTGTATAACGTGATAAAATGTAAAATAGATAATTGTACAATGTTGAATAAAAATATTTATGGTAAAAAGTAAATATCAAGTAATAGTAAATAAGGTTTTTAATAAAAGAAATTTTATGCATTTATAACACTAGATTTTATCATGTTGACATTTTTTAGACACAATGAAATAATTCCAGAGACTGATTTTTTAAAAGAACAATGTGAAACTTGGACAGCATGGTCCTTTGATACTTTTTTAAGAAAACCAATTAACTGGTCTTTTGGTAAAATGAAGAATTATGTAGTAGGTCAAAGTATAATTAATAAGGAAATGAGATATATATATATACCTATCATACAGGAATTGGGTGATAATATTCTCTCCATTGTAGAGATTAAGAAGGATAATACTTTATATTCGATTCCTGAAATAATGGTGTATTACAAAAGTAAAACAAAAAAAGAAATCTCAGAAAATACACTAAACTTAGTCTTGGAATGGCTAAGACGTAAACACAAAGTAACTTTGAAAAAAGGCTCTGGTACAAATAAGGAGTTATTAGTAAAGTTCTCTATGCAGATAGTGACTCAAATCACAGAAGTTGAAGAAGGTACATATAAATTGATGAAACAAGAGAACAATCTAATCAAAGAAATAGAACTTATGGAGCAAAAAAAGCTTAATATACTTAATGAAACAAAAGCATATTTGGCAAAAGGATTGCGTCAACTAGCGAAAACATGTTTAAAAAGAAAAGTAGAATTGGAAAAGACTATAGAAAAGCGTTCACAAGCTCTTGCAAATCTACGTATTATTATTGCTAACATTGAAGATACACGTTCTAATTCTGCTGTATTATCTGCTTATAAAACTGGATCTGAGATATTGACAAAAATGAAACAAAGTGGTTTAATACAACATAATGTGGTGGACATTATGGACAACATTAATGAAGTGAGTAGTTATGTATATTACATAGATAATACATATGTGACACATGAAAAGAAAAGACATTCTAATATACATTATTTGACTAGCTTTTAGAGGAAAACGAAGAAGTAAACGCAACAATGTCTGAAATACTAAGCAATGACAGTGATGCAGAATTGGAAAAAGAATTAATGGAACTTCTAAATGAAAATAACACTGACATTTCTGCTACATTTGCTGAATCAAAATCAGAAATTGATCAGTTGGAGCAACCTTTGAGTGATTTACATATTGATGGTAAATATGCAATTTATTGTGGTATGTATTGTATAATATGGAAAATAATATGAAATTTTTATAATGTAGATTTATCATTACTTGATAAAAACATAACTGCACTATCATCTGTGAAAATATTACAAGAACCTGAGTGCTTGTAAGTTGCAACAGTTCATTCTGTTTAGTTTAATTATGTAAAATTATTTCTAAGGTTTTAATTAATTTTCTTACAATTTTAAATATTAATTAATTAGTAAAAATGGAAATATTTGTATATCAAAAATATATTTCGCTGACATATTGTTTTATAATGCATCTGAAATTAAAAATATATATGACACACATACTTGGATATTATTAATTAAACCTATTTTTATATTTAGTAAAATAATAGAAATAACTCCTTATAATTATTTTCCTTTATATAACAGGGTGTTTACTGCCTGGAAAAACCTGGAAAATCAGGGAAAACTTAGGGAATTTGTTTATGCCTGGAAAATCAGGGAAAAGTCAGGGAATTTTATTGGAAATCAGGGAATTTTTTTGAATTTGTTCTTTTTAAAATTTTCTTATATTATAATAATATACAACAGGAAAGGTCTTTGAAAAGAAAAAAGAATTTAGAAACAAAGGTGTTAGAAATGAAACGTATACAAATTTTAGAAAGTGCACAAAAAGAAGCAGAAGCACTTCAAGAACAAATTGCAACTTTAAAAAAATAATCGAAAATTTCTTTAATATTAAAGTGCAATGTAAATTTTAATTATATTTTCGCTGGGTAATGTAATTTACATTGTTATGTATCGACAAATTTTTATGTTTTGTTTAAACTTTTATAAATCGAAAATATAAGGACAAGTTGCACAATATACATATATATTCATTTATATATATTCGTATATATTCATTTATAAGACACTTAACCTTCTGCTTGTTTCGTAGATTTTTGGGAAACAGTAACAATTAGAATTTACTGTAAACTTTGATTGATTTAGAGAAGTGAGGCTTAAAAATTCTATTTAAGGAAATCCTAAAAATATTTCTTCAAATGAAAGTTACAGGCATCACCTCTAATTTAATCAAATTTTACAATAAATTCAAATTTTACTGTTCCCTGAAAGACCCACGAATCATGTGAAGGGTTAAAAAATACTTTTATTTGACCTGGAATTTTTAATAAATTACCTGGAAAATCAGGGAATTTTTTTTCCACATTTGAATAAACATCCTGCATAAGTAAAAAATGATTATCATTATTCTCCATTTAAAAAAAAACTATATATAATTATACTGTTATTGGATTAGGAATACAAATAATTAGTAACAATATATATTTCATGTTCTATTTAACTCTTTATTTTTAATTCAGTGATTGTATTAATGTGTATGCAAGTAATATGAATTACAAAAATAATAAATGGTCTTATATTGGAAAGATAAAAACAATATAATGTAAAACATTTACAATATTCAAGGTTTATCCGGACATGATGGATATGGTCTCTTATGCCCTATTCTGTCAACTACATCTAATATCCATGTAATATGGCTGGAGATTCGTGTGTATAAGGAATACAAATTATTGTCACAATGAGAACTTCCACCATGTTCTATTGTACCGAGAGAAACGCTAACTATGCCTCGCAGATACCACAGGCCTCCGGTCTCAAATGCTAGTCCTCCACCACTATCACCATCACAAACAGAAGAACCTGAAATGCACAATGTTGATTAGAGAAATGAATTCTATCCCAGTTTTTTACAGTTACAAAAATTCATTTACATATATTATTTTTTTCTTATATAGTTCATATTACAAACTTATGTTATTAATATATTTGATTATTTTAATTATATAATATATTTTATATAATATATTTTTAAATCAAAATTAACCATTTGTGTAGCCTGCGCAAAACTTATCAATAGTAATATATTTTTGTTTCTCGTTGTCTTGACTCGCGGACTTGCATTCGCTGTATGGGACATACGGCACGCTTAGAGCTTGTAATATTTCACTGGGTTCACCCGCCGCAGTCCTGCCAAACCCTGCCACCTTTCCGTAAGAGCCCGGTTCCAATACAACTTGATCGCCATATGTAAAAGGATCTATGCATATGGGTACCAACAAGGTGGATAATACGAATGGCTTGACAAGCTCTAATATCGCGATATCCCATATATAATTTCCTATAAGTCCTAAGTAACTGCATATGATGTAAATTTTGTTCACCTGTAAAAAACATATATAAAACACCAGGATTCACAATTTTGTGTTCTGTATTAGTAGTGTTACATTTATAATGCTTGCGTTTAGTAAAAATGAGCACTTAATAAGTTCTTGAGGTATAAATCACTGATTTAGCTCTAATTTTGTAAGTCGGCAATCAAAACATATTTGATTCATGTTTCGCCGTTTACTCAATACAACACTTTCATATACCAACTAAATTACTAACTCTTTATGTAACATATCCCAAATAAAAAGAATGAAACGTCATGTCATTTCGAATTTACATAAAGTGATCTACATTGGGAACTGCTAAAATTTTAAACAGAAATCCTTAAACAGAAAATTTTATTATTTTTTAATTCTATGAAAGAAAACAATCTGGTTTTATTCGAAATATTTTTTGTCAAATATTTTTATTAAAAATATAACAATATGAAATTTTAACTTATAATCAAAATTAGCATTTTCTAGCACTTTTTTACATTGCATGATAAAATACATCAGACATATAAAACATATATTTGTTTAAAATCTAACTTTACTTAAAATTTAACCTTATTTAAAGCGAAAAAATTATTTGGCAATGTTTTGTAATATATTTTAATATATTTTATAGATTTTCATTTTAATATATAATTAGAAAATGAATAAATAATTAAAGTATTGTTTCAATATGTATAAAACATATAAGAAATATGATAATAGATCTTCTAATCAAAATATTCGCGTATTTATTATTAATCATTAAAAATATTTTTAAGAATATCTGCTAATAATGTTTCTATATTATTTTGAAGGAAATATATATTATATATTTTTGATGGTAAAACTTTAGTATTCAAGAATCCAATTTTGATGACGTTTTACAACGTACATAACATTTAATAAATATATTCGAATACCACAAGTACCAACATGCGGAAACATTTAGTGTTGGAGATATTTAAATAATTATTCGATCTAATCAATCATTTTCAATAAATTTCAATATGAAAAATATAGATAAATAAAGATAACGCCTCATCGATATATTTTATTTTAAAATATGCTATAAGAGTTAAAATTTTGAGTAATTTTTTATAATATATCCATATGCTCGCTTGTAGTTTCTGAGAAATTCTGAGGTTTTGAGAAATTTTGAAATATTAAAAGATAAAAATGAAGTTTAGAAACTTATCTTCGATAAATACTTTAACATTTTTCTTAATTTATATCTTACATAATTAATTAATTTATATCATATATAATTATTTGTTAAATTGTTAACTAATTATAATCTTATTAATTTATATCTTATTAAATTTTTGCTAAAATCTTTCATCTTACTAAATTCATAAGTCTACCATATACTAAAAATGAAAATATTGTAAAAATAAGTAAAGGGGCTTTTGCACAAGATTGCATTTAAATAAGCTTAATATCATAGAATAATGAGTATAATAAGGCGAAACAGTTTAGCAAAAATTTAATAAAATATAAATTAGTAAGAAAAATGTTAAAATCTATCGGAAATAGGTCTCCTAAATTTCATTTTTACTTCCTAACGCTTTAGAATCAAATATCTCGAAAATTCCAAGTAACTCCCATGTAAATGTATCATAAAAAGTTACTCAGAATTGTATTCTTTATAGCATATTTTCAAATACAAAATGTTGATGAGGTATTACCTCTTGTACATATTTACCCATATAACTGTTATTTAACCTTTTAGTAACATAACATGTTAGTTATACGTTATATTTCTGTCCCAGTAAGCAATTTGTACGCGGACTGACATCAGATTGGCGACAGATTGAGCAGAATCTGTCGACAGATCCATAAACATCTATGTCCCTAATTTGCCGTCAATGTCTGTTGAGAGGTTCTACGCATATTCGCGTTGCTCTGCGCGTTCTGACCGACAATCTGTTGTCAAAGTCTGTTAAACAAATTCTGTATAAAATCTGTTGTCTTTTCGTTGCTAACAGACATTGCTAATAGACTCTGCGCAAAATCTTAGTAGGTTTAGTTATTTTGAGTTATATAGGATATCTCATAACTCAATACGAAGAATACGTGGAGACATATAATGAATTAAGACAAACATAAAAGTCCCATACCATTTTACGATGTTCGCAATAATTATTGAGTTATTAATGACAGAAATCTGATCAGTGAGCGTCCGTCGAGAGGGATGATTGGAAAAGCATTGCAGCCACTCGGGCAAAATCGCGTTCCCAGTCAATCTAGCAACCGGTGTGCGGCAAAGGGAAGGACAACGCTATTCATGTCTTATCTCGCCGCTCCTACGTCTTCTCATGTGTTAATCTACATCACAAATCTTGATAAACTCATACTTAGATATACCATAGGGTGCTCTTGTAAGACGAAACCAAATTGTTAACGTTTTTCTTCTTTTTCTATATAATAATTAATAAATGAATTATTATTTAATAAATTAACAAATTAATTATTATACAAGAATGTTTTCTTCCTTTATTTCTTTGCACACACCTATACGTTTATTCTCTTATTATCCAAACTAAAATTATATTTCCTAAAAATCCAATATCTATCACTATACTAATATCCAAAATGAAACAAAATTATGATGACATCAAAATGATGAGAAAATGACGGAATCATGATGAAAAATAAGTTTCCCTCATTATTTTGACATCATTTTGACGTCATCATATATGATTTTCTGTTCTGCCTAGATATTTCTTATGGTATTAATATAGCATTATATAGAAAAAAGGAAGATGAAAAGAAATATGGCTCGAGCTTTACAAAAACCCCAAATATTGCATATAGACACGAATATGTTAAGTAGTTGCACGTGTGACGTAGATTGACGCATGCGCAGGAAGTTCCGTGGAAATAAATACCCCCAACACTGAGCCCGAGCAGCCGCAATGCTTGTTGAATAACATCTCGGCGCGCGCTCACTCATCAGATTTCTATAATTAATAACTCGATAACTACTGCGAATATCGCAAAATAGCATGGGATTTTTATGTTTGTTTTAAGGAGTTAGGCCACCTTGGACGAGTCAAAATCACTGTCATTTCCAGGAATTTTTTCTGAGGACATAACAAAAAATACAAAAACGAAAATAAGTTATTTGTTAACTTTGAGGCATAGTGGTAAGTATACTTACCACCTATTTATTCTCACATTTTCATGAAATATTTCATATTTGAGGGATTCTTTGTCAAGTCTTTTGCGTTTTTTAGCTTCTTATATGATATGGAAACATACATGAAAGGTTGAAAAGTGTTTTGCATAAGTTGTTCATTTATTATAAATAAACAAAGTGTAAAAAATACAAATGTTTTCAGAAAAAAATCATTTTCCACAAACTATGAACGAATTTTTTGCTCAAAATCAAGATTTGAGGTTTTTTTGGGTCGCTGATTACGAATCTAAGGTCAAAATTCCAAAATTAATTTTTCAAGATGACGGATTCAAGATGACGGATCATAGAATTTTTATTACATTAGCTAAAGTTGTACTCTGGTTAGTTTTTGAGGTCGCTGATTATGAATCTGAGGTCCACATTCTATAATTCATTTTCCAAGATGGCGGATTCCAGATTATCGCGATTTTTCATATTTGTGGCCACCATCTTGAATCCGCCATCTTGAATTTTGAAAATCTGTTAACGGATTCGTAATCAGCGACCCCAGAAACTCCCGTATATAAATGTTCATGTGATTCGAATTTTCTGAAAAATACGTGTCTTAAAGGGTTAAACAACTTTTTAAGGGAAAGAAGTATTTTTTTGTAAATATTTTAAACAAAATGGCAGCATTGAAGTCGAGACACTAGGAGTTCCTTCTGACTGACGCTATCAGCGGTGTTCAGTCTCACAGCTACAGCATTGGACGTAAAACAAAAACGGAAAAATTTTTATTATCTAGATGTCAGAAACTGAAGAAGTACATATAGGTATTCAGAAATATTTATTTTTGTGAAAATGGTGAAAATTTTATGTTTTGACCTAAAAATTTTGTGCAAGTGTTAATTGCAAAAGAAATTTTTAATATTTAGCAAAATTCATATGTACTTCTTCAGTTTCTGGCATCTGGATAATAAAAATTTTTTCGTTTTTATTTTATGTCCAATGCTGTAGCCGTGAGACTGAACACCGCTGAGAGCGTCCGTCAAAAGTGTTTCGGCTTCAACGCCGCCATTTTGTTTAAAATATTTACAAAAAAAATACTTCTTTCCTTAAAAAGTTACTTAATAAATATCTTATTTTTATTTTTGTATTTCTTTTATTATGTCTTCAGAAAAAATTTCCGGAAATGACAGTGATTTTGACCCGTCCAAGGTGACCTAACCCCTTAATCCGTCCTATGTCTCCACGATCTCTGGACCTCCACGATCATTGTTCTGCAACATCTTGTATACGGATAGTATCCTCAAATGTTTCGAATAGCTAGATTTTGATATTTAATTAAAGAAAATTTAGTTCTGAACAAAAAATTTCCTATAAACACAAGTCAAAAAATGCTTCCTTAAGAAGTTAGCTATTTCTAGATCACATAACGTCCAGCTACGCAGTTTGGCCAGCCGCCTTCCGTATGGCTTCCATGACTGTACGGAACAGAAACTATTTCAATAGAAATTACAAATTACTTCTCAAAAATAGATTGTGTGGGTTTCTGTATAATTACTGCGTAGCTGGACATTATTCATAGTTATCTAGAAATAACTATCTTTTTAAGGAACTATTTTTCGACCTATACCAGATAGAAAAATTTCGACATATTGTCTGCATAGAGATTGAATTCGAGAATTAAAAATAGTAGCATAAATATGTAGAGATTTGTCCTTATACAAGAAACATTATAGCAGCATATAAAAGAAGCCATCTTTTATATACCTATCTATTATATGAATCTGATGCCATGAAAATTGCGGCAATATACCACGTATTGTGTCGGTAAGAAGATGCAATTGTCGCAGCAATAATAAGCTGATATCTTGCTGCAAAGTATGGGACAATATCCCTACAGCGCAAAAGTTGCAGCAACATTACTGCAACGTCGCTGCAATATTGCAACATTGTTGCAACGTTGCAGCAATGTTGCTGCAACTTTCTGTGCTGTATGAATGAATACGTATTTCTTATAAACATATTACAAACATATTATGCCGTTTCAATATTATCATAAAATATATATTGAATTCGTGCATACTGTTGCCAATATGTCTATCTATCTAAGTTGTTTATAAAAACCCTCTTGTTCAAAATTAAATTTCCTATAACTCTCAAAGTCTAGTTGAAACATTCGGAGCCACCTTGTATATGCAAAGTGTCTGACGTAAACGTATCAACCCGCACGTGAAAATAGAACGTCAATTTGAATACGGAGACCTTTGTCATTTTGTAAACATCCACGTGGAATTTTGAATTATTCACAAAAGAAGATTAGCGAGTCAGTGTGCGCAACTCTGTGGAACGCGCTCTATAGACATGAGCTTAGTGGAAAATGGTTGAAAAGTGACTCTCTTACATTAACGATAGTAGCTATCGACCAGCAACTAAGAATGGAGCAATGACGCGAGCGGTATGCGAACAATTTCCATACAGCACAGAAAGTTGTAGCAACGTATTGCCGTAACGTTGCAACAATGTTGCAATATTGCAATGACGTTGCAGCAATATTGCTGCAACTTTAATGCTGTATGGGTTATTTCTCGATACAGCGAATATAATCACTTTCAATATGTTTGCGTTTACAGAGCGCATTGCGTCATGCGCATTGATTCCCTAATCTTCTCTAATTAATAATTCGAAATTTCACGTGGTTGTTTACAAAATGATAGAGATCGTCGTACTCGAGTCGACATATTCTACCTTTAGCGCAGGTTAATGTCTTTCACCAGACACCCTATATTAAATGTAATTCACATGAGGAGGAAATTACTATTAACAAATATTATATAATCTGCTATATACATGTTACATTACGTGCTGCATTTCGTTACATTACGACAATATAATAATTATATGTGTTACACCTATTTGCTGAGTTTGTATTTAGTAAGTACAAAGAAATTTCGGTGTGTATATGTACTGATTAGAAGTAATAATAATCATTAAATACTTACTAAGCGCTCATTTCTGCTAAATGTAGCGATTTACACACCTGTCCCTTTCGAACAATTCTCTCATCGTGCCAGGAAGAGTCGTAGTCACGAAGAATATTACCCGTTAGTACGAATATCTTTTCGGGATTTTCTATAATTTTCTTAGTGTTCTCATTGAATATACAATGTGCTGCCGTTATCAGAAGATTATCTTGAATGATAGAAGCACCGCAAAAGAATTTCTTGATCCCACTTGCAGATTCAAAGTACAAAGAAGCGTGCCATGGGAATTCTGTGATATTGGGCTTCGTGCCGTTATAAATGAGCGGTTTGAGTCTAGGAGGCAGTGTACCGCATACTATAACATTATATTTTGATTCAAAAAATCACTGTACAAAATTTTCATATTAAAATGCTTTTATCACAATATCGGTTATCACGCTCATTACGACGATGATTGTAAATTTATGGGCGCTATTTTAAATAACGATCACGTTTCCTTATGGCGGAAACGTAAAAAGTGAAAAGTTTCACATAAAGAATGCAGCCAAAGTTAGCCCCATTCTGCAGTATTTGAAATCTTAAATTATTTTTTGATAAAATTATAGCTGTTGATGGGTAGATTAAAAATATTTACAAGTGTCAAAGTAATGCGCCTTACTATTAGGAGAAAATACACACAAGATACGTAACAATAAATGATATGTTTAAGATCTTTATAGAAAATGTATAGGAAATGTTGCAAGAAACGAGATAAAAGTCTTTATCAATAAAATAATACGGATTATAAATATTATAATATAACTTTTTTTAAATTAGGATGACAAGCTTCGTCCAACTTAATTATCAATTAATTTTGTTATAACTAGCAAAAATGGCTAATAATTATTTGCTGATCGCAATGGAATTAATAAACCATTAGTTATTAGTTAATCAGAGGTTAGTAAAAATCACCTTTAACTCTTTCAGCCATATATTTTATTTCTCGATGGAATTTTTTGAAATGTGGTATTTAAGTATTTTCGGGGTCGCAGATTACGAATTAGAAGTCAAAATTGTAAAATTCAAAATGGCCGATCCAATATGGCAGACCAATAATTAAAAAATGTTTTTAATTTTTATGAAAATCAGTACTCGGGGGTTTGTCGGGTTGCTGACTATGAATCAGAAGTCAGAATTGTAAAATTCAAAATGGACGATTCAATATGGCGGACCAATAATTAAAAAATGTTTTTAATTTTCATGAAAAGCAGTACATAGGGTTTTTTGGATTGTTGAATCTGAATCTGAGGTCAAAGTTTTGAATTTCTAAAATCCAAGATTGCGGAACTAATATGGCAGACCAGAAAATAGTTTAGGGTTTGTTTTCTGGATTTATTTTTGGTCGCTGAACAATTCAACCGGTCGAATATACATAAAGTTGCCTTCAAGTCACTTCTATGTCTTCAAATAACATCATGTGTTTTCCATGCTATTACTGACTCCAATTAGGTTATTTCTTCTGTTCGTGTCTTTCATAGCTTTAGTATTTCGTTGTTTATTGCTGTTATACCTATGATCTCCATGACATTACATATCTCTCATAATTTCATTGACTTCGATGGCTTTACATATCTTCATACGACTTCATTATCTTCAAGTGACTTCAATGACCTCTTATAATTTCATGTTCATGTATACTTGACTTGACCCTCCTGCTGAATTCGATTCTAATACAGTCAAGTTTCGATAAATTTCCGACTCAGGGGCTGTAGGAAAGGAAAATTCTTGGAATTGGCCAATTATCGAATGCCACCTCTACTCACCTTTTCTTGCTGGCGCATGAGCATTAGGTTAGACGCGCACACTATATTTGTCTAAATCCAGATAGACATATATACACACATATACATAAAATTTATCGAGATTTTACTGTACCTTATTTTGTCAACTTTCGAGCGTTCAATAATTACGTCTGATCCGAAAACATTCCACCATTTATGAATATGTATGCTCTATTTTATGTGTTCGCTAGTAATTGTTCATGAATTTTCTATTATACAGCTTAGTATTACCTTACAGTATTATAGAAGTGGAATTTTTTTGATATTGCACACTGCACAATTTTTCTAACAAATATATACATTGTTCTTTTTCTGGTGAACAAACAAATGTCCCTTATGAATTAGCTAAACTGATGTTCAGATTTATTTTCATTTATTAAAAATGGAAGAGGATATTGTAAAGATTTCGAGTGACTGTGAATCTATTGATGGCTCATGCGATTCTGATAGCAAAGCAGTCTCAGACCATGAAATTGAAAAAGTAGATTACCTAGAAAATAATATCGTCCAAGAAAATTATGATAGTACTGAAGATAAACCTCTGAATAACCGTTTGCAAAATATAAATGGTAAGTGGGAAAAAACATCTAGATCAAAGGATGATGTTCCATTCACTAAAGATTGTGGACCAAATGTACCAGATTTTGCTACTTCATTGGAAATCTTTTATTGCTTATTTCCACCTGACTTCATTAACTCTTTAGTTGATCAAACCAATCTGTACCGGAATTAAAATCAGAACAAATTAGATCCCGTATCAAAAAAGCAGATGCTTATATTTTTAGGCATTAATCTTGATGGGTGTTAAAAAACTTCCATCGTATAAGGATTACTGGTCCATGAATCCACAACTCAATAACTCGTATATCTTATGACTGTAAATCGCTTTGGATTCTTGCTCAATCATTTACATGTAAACGAAAACGGTACGGAGAAGAAGAAAGGAGAATCAGGCTACGATATATTGCACAAAATAAGGTGATAACAAAATTAAATTAAACTTTCAAAAGTTGTTTCAAGCCAAATCAGCATCAATCTGTGGATGAATCGATGATAAAATTCAAAGGAAGGAATACGGTGAAACAATACAATGCGGCGAAGCCAATAAAACGAGGTTACAAACTTTGGGTTCGCGCCGATCGATCTGGTTATATCTGTGAATTTCAAGTTTACACGGGCAAAACAAACAATAGTACAGAGAAATCATTAGGCGCTCAGATTGTGCAAGATCTCACGCGAGAAATTGTTAATAACTTTCACGAAGTTTCTTTTGACAATTTCTTTACAAGCGTCGATCTTATGATTTCCTTAAAAGCAGACGAAATTTTCGCTTGTGGGACTGTTCGTCAAAATCGTGTTGGATTACCAAAGCAACAAAAATCTGACAAGGAAATGGCTAGAGGTGAAAGTGAGTATCGCACTTCTTTCATAGGCCTTCTATGAGTAAAATGGAAGTATAATAAAGCAATTTCATTTTTGTCCAACTTACATGATCCTTGTGAATTAAGAACCGTCAATCAAAGACAAAAAGATGGTTCGTTACTCCCTGTAAGTTGCCCAACGCTAGTCGCTAACTATAACAGGAATATGGGATACGTGGACAAAGCTGACATGATGAAATCCACCTACCAAATCAACAGAAAGTCTAGGAAATAGTGACATAGAATTTTCTGGCACCTTGTCGATACTACTGTCACCAATGCGTATGTAATTTACGTTGAGCAAGGCAATAAAAACAACCTGACATTGAAATAATTTAGATTGGCCATTCTTGATGGATTGGTGGGTAAAACTGTAGTACCAAAGAAAGGTAGGAAAAGCAAACCGAAAATTGTTAGTCCTTACAAACTGCAAGTGTCAGTAGAGAAAAGGCGTTCTGCATCAGTACATATGCCTATATATAATCCCAGGAAAGCGAAAGCGCTGTGCCAATTGTAGTACCAAAAATGAGGAGAAAAGAACTCCTTGGAACTGCACAGAATGCAAAGTATCACTTTGCTTATCTTCAGAGAAAAATAGTTTTATAACATATCATTCCTAGTTTGCGAAACAACTGCGAACACCTTGATTTCAAGATGGCATTCACGTATTTCTTTTATTGATCGGTTTTATTAGATAAACTAATTTTTATAAAATTGTACGTATAAAAACATATATTTAAACCTTTTTTTAAAAGCGAAAATAAAAAATACAAAAAAATAAAACAAAATTAAAAAAATTAAAAGAATTAACGGAACTAGGACCTCGCCACGTCCTCGTCGTTAGTTCTGGGTAGCGCTAAGAGATTAAGAATGATAATTACAAGTGTACATGCAGCAAATTCTATTTTCTTATAAGCTTTTTAGTTTTTTAAAATTTTGATCGAACATGTTGCAGCCAAATATCCTGCAAAACATATTGCAGAATAATGCAACCATTTTATTATCTTTTGTTCATTTTGGTAACGCCATCTTGGATTTTTACTATTCGAAAATGTTGACATCAGGTTTGGATGCAGCTACCAAAAAAAAATTCAGAAAACAAATTCCAAAATAATGGGACTATTTCTTTGTTTTTGGTCAACTATACTGGTACCGCCATCTTGCATTTCAGAAAAATTTGAAAATTCTGACCTCAGAGTAGGATTTAGTGACTCAAAAAATCTCCTGGACACTATTATAAGAGATATTTTAAACTATTTATTTGGATTTATAGTAGAAAATATTAATTTTTCCATTTTTTTCCAAAGATTAGTAATTTACAATAAAAAACCAAGCTGCGAAAAAATCTGAAATAATTCTGAAAAATACTTTAGGGTATCCTAAATAAGTGTCCAAATTGACGTTCCGATATTGATAATAATTTAATGGAAAATGTATTTCTCCTATAAAAAACACAGATTTTGAATATTTATTTATAGCAATTATGCAAATGAAAATTTATAGTTGCCTATTTCTTTTTTACATTCCTACATATACTAGGGACTATATAAAAACAGAAACACCTGTATTTTACATCAAGAAATTGGTTAAAATAATTAAAAACTGCGCGGAAAAAGGTGAGACGCTGAGCGTCCCACCATGACGCAAAGGGTTAATGCGTTTATAGCCGACTTATTACAATATTTTCTATACATTTCCTATACGTTCTAAAAAATAATTAAAGATTTCAAATGCTACAAAATGCAACTAAAAGTTGAAATGAAAGCTTGACTACTTTCTTTAAAAATTTTAATAATTATGTAACTTTTCATGTGAACATTTTATCTTGAAAGTTGTTCACAAAAGGACGAAAATTAACTAAAAATTTATTTTGATATCTTCCAGTATATATGTATGGCATATTTAATTCAATATTATTTCTAAGTCAATATTTTTAAAAATAGAAGTATTTAGTTCTTTTTTTAATAAGTCGATTTCTCACACATAGACTGTTCAGTGTACAAAAATATTAAAAAAAGATTAAAAGAAAGTAAATACTTTCCGAAATATTTCATCTTAATCTTTTGAAAATACTTTGATGAATATTTATTCATCATTATTTTTAACATACAACA